TGCATATTGCATTTGTCATAAAAATATAGTCCAATGGTATACTAGAATATGTTCAATTCTACTCGAAAGAGATTGTTGGATAAGTTAGAAATATTGATTCTTCAACCAATTCATCGTGTTATCAAATTGTGAAATAGAGATTAAAAGTGAACTTGTTTGGTGATTGGGGATCCTAGTGCACTTTTTCATACATTACTTTCTCCAAACTTTTGCATTCAACTATTATTTTGCATTTAGTTTAATTAATTCATCCATTATTGTTTGCATTTAGTTTAGTTAAACTTGGTTATAAAAATCAATCATATTTCATGTTTCGGTTAAGGTCAGAATAGGTAAAATCGAACTAGTAAATCTCTGTGCGAACGATACTTGGACTCTAACATCCATTTTATTACTTGAACGATCCGTACACTTGCGGTAATCAAAGTCGAATACATCTTCGACGTGTCAGTCATCCTGATCAATTTCCAAATTTGTGAAAACAGTTCCATGAGCAAGTCAACCTCTTCAATTGCCATATGTGTATCATTTCCCGTTATATTAAATCATTGCATGACGAAGAAATCTCCAACAAGTATATCGACTTCATCAATTTCAACAGTTGCATCATATCCTCCATATTAGCTTATTGTATGGCAAAGAAATCTCCAACAAGCATATCGCATTCATCAATATCTGCGTGTGGATCATATCCCACCACAGCAAAGACATCTTCCACAAGAATATTGCCTTCATCAATATTGAGATTTCTCATTTATATTGTTGCTAGTCTTTTACTAATTTTCGTTCCCTTATTGACAATTTAATCAAGAAAAACAAATAGATCAATTGAAAAAGAGAAAATATATAATAGAAAAAGAAGAAAAGGATAAATCAAACAAAACTATAAATAATTTAATCAATATTAGATAAAAATAGTTAAATTTGTTATGCGTTAATTGCAAGTGCACAGTGTCAATTAAATTAGTAAAGTGGTGGACATAAGAGACCAAATTATTGTTCCCATGATGATTAACTATTTAATAATTAATTTATTTATTCATAACTCCTATTTGAATAAAGCAAACATTGATGACAAGATTTTGATTAAACTAATATTAACTAAGGAAAATAAAAACAATTAAAAGATCAAATATGATGGTTAAACCGTTACGACTCATAATTCATCGTAGTTATCCCCTTTAATTTCGTCGCTCAAATTCAATTCCTAAGTTGTACTTGGTCGAATTCACTAATTAAATAATTTGTCTCTCAAGTTCAAATTAATCCCATCTAATTGAGTCAACTTACTATTT